AGAGCTTTCTAAGAAAAAGGAGAATCCGAATTATTATTTACGCATAGCAAATTTCTCACAGGAAGGAGGAACGCCCGGCGTAGCCGGGCGAACCCGTAAGAAGGAGGAGAGCCTGGCGTTAGCCGGGCGATCCGACTGGTATATATATAATATGGAATATTCCGCGATGGAATGACTAGTGAAAATAGGACGTTCATGGAAGAGGGGCAGATAGCAGATTAGTTCAAATAACAAAATAACAAATAATAACACTCATGTCAGAAAAATATGAGTTCGTCATATCTGAAAGACGGGAAAAGAAGATATGACGATTTCACTAGGAAAGGCATAGCTGAGTGTTTACTGCTCAGAACGTGGAGGACGGTTAGAGGTGGGACCTTGTCATGGGTGTCCGTGACCCCTTCATTTGCAGGTCCATGCTGCGAGAGACGAGGTGGGGGAAAACGAAGAAGGATTGGGATTATACCAGCAGATAAATATACGTCACCCTGATGCCATGATCCAGTGCACATTCACGAACTGTGCAGTGGATCATGGCGTCAGGCTGACGTCGAGTGTCCTTAGGTATTCACTGTTTTTGTAAGAAAAAATTCAACACCAGGTCAGATTGCTCAGTCTACTATTAGATGAATTGGCAACAACATGAACGAAAAAACATAGAAAGGTATAAAAAGCAAGAAGACATAAAGTAAGAGGAGACCCGCTTGTCAACAGAGGAAGGAAATGACTTCCCAAAGAAAAGAGATTTGTTCGATTTCATCGATTCGTCGGTTTCTAGTCACGATATGATTCTCTTGTTTAGGACCTGGGAATTTCCCATCTCTATTCATTAACTTCCCAAACCTTTTATTAAAGACTTGCTTGCGTTTCTGAAAATAATTCTGCGCCAACTTACTTATATTTCCATAATGAAGGCGCCTTCTCATGCCATTAAAAAAGGAAGTTTGACACAGTATGTGATTATCCAAGCAATGCCTGCTTGCGTTTGTAAGTGTGCGGGTAATGAGCATAACGGCTTGACCAGCACTCTGACCAGACGCAAAACTCTTAAAAGATAACAATTTTCCGCATCATAACAGTACGAAACAGTCTATAAAATTACATTCGGAATACTCCAGTTGGAAATCGACTGGACCTGAGCGCTCGAGTACACAAGAGGTGAGGAAGTGTGGAAGTCGGAGTAATAAATTCGTGGGATTTTAAACAGGTTCATGCATTTTGTTTCGTGAGAAGTCTTCCACTGAACTTTCCAATTTTGCTAGGAACTGGAAAATCTACCACAACCAGCAACCATCCAAAAAAAAGCCAGTAGGTCAGGAGGCGCCACACCAGACCTCGCCAACGCTCCAACAAAACTAGATCTTTACCCATTCTACTTCAGCTGATGCTGACTTGATTAGGTGCGCTACACCTAGACGCCACTCAAAGAATCGCTAAATCAAAGAACCTACAGAAGGCTGGCACCGCTCCTAGTTGGGACTGCCTCAACATACTGGAAAGAGAATAATGAAAACCCTGTACGTACCTCATCAAAACAGCGAACTTCGCAGTATCATATACCTGCTCCAAAATTCCACAGTTGGTGGCTTCCCGAACTGAAGAATCGTAGTGGCAGGTTCCGGGGTTCCGCTACTTCCTAACTTTTATCAGTATATACAGGTAGGGACTATAACGACCGTAGGGCACTTAAGGTGTTATAAACGTCGCTGTTATAACAGCTCTCAAACATAGTCCTTCAAAGCTGACCTTAAGCGCAAGAAAGATGCAAGATTCAGACACGACAAGCAAATGCGCCTCGATGTGTAAATGGTGTTGTAAAGCCTTAGCCAAGATGCCTCAACTTTTTCATTTTATTAAGGTTTCTGCCTTGACGCCTTCATCATAGCCTAACATATAGGGAAGAAAACCATCAGCCAAATTAAATTGCGCCTCAGTCTCGACACGACCGGAAGGTTGGCCATTTCCCTTGTTCAACTTTTTCTTCAACATCAGAGACTCATGAACTGATAAAATACTACGGAATTATGGATAATGAGACAAGAAGAAACATATAACGGGACAAGGGGACATTACACAGAACAGGCTGAATACCCGTAATCCGGGATGGCCATGCGTTTCGTGGCATGGCCAGCCCGGATTACGGGTATTCATTCGAAACCTCTGGATTTGCGTGGTAGCCCTCCCGTGAAGTCCGTTTAGCGGTATCGATTCATTATAAGCGGGAAAGCGAATGCAAATCCCCTGCTCGACTAAAAACTATCCATACCTCAGATCGATATCTACTCTCATCAATCTATTCCCGTATATCTCCCTGCCCATTTAGCTATCACTCATCTTTTTTATCTACCATCTATTTATTTTCACAAATCGTCCATGGGTCGAACTAGGAGACACGTCCTACAACGATGTTGTATAGACTATTCCACCCTCGCCAGCACACATTCAGGGTTGAAACGGCCATTACTTTGGCTCAGGGTGCCCCGTATTTTGCAGCGCCTCCTGCCACGTATATCACCATAACGTCCACTTCGCCATTGGCAATTCCATATATATACTATTCCCTCATGTGAATCAGTGAATTGCGCTCAAGAACATAGAAATGTGGCAAAACAAACCAGTAAGTTGAACCAACTAATTATAGTCAAGTAAAAATGAAATGCAGTTTCGATTCCCCTTCAGTTTCTGTTTTCAAAATTGGATTACTTCTGCAAAGAAGGCCGTCGTAAATATAGAAATTAGCAAAAGGGCCTGAGCAAGAAGTCGGGTGCCAAGGGGTGAGATTAAGGGTGCTAAGGGAACAAGCCGGAGTTCCACCCTTACCCTTAGCATGGTGCTGTGGAATTAACCTCATAATCACCTTCCACAAAATTCTTGCCACATTAAGGAGAAATAGAACGATTGGGAAAGGGTAATTGACAGGGAACAGGAAGGAGTGGCTAATATTGGTAGGATTTACTCACTCGAGATATCAACTGTTGAAATCAATAGGACGTTTATGAAAAGAAAAAGACAAAAAGAACTGCGGCACACTTTGACTGATTACGCACTCTGTTGCTTATGATTCGACCGAAACAGAACTCACTCACGGGCGTAGGAGAGTAATGTCGGGCCCACTATTAAACTCCTACGACTCGAAAAAATATTAGAAAGCTATGCATTCAAATTCAAGAAATTCACAAGTAGGTTGTAATTCATCCTACTTCAATATCAATAATGTAAATTAGAACTGGTTTCGGGAAGTCACCAAGAAGTGATTGAGTGGGTGTGATATAGTTTTCTCTACGATGCGTGGTAAAAGGAAAACGATTTCACTTGTTTGCTCCTTATCTCAGCAGCAAAAGAAGTGAGGAAGAACTGGGGCAACTGTGAAAATAATGACTGATAGGGTGTGACATATATTGACAACCGAAGAATGCCCTTTCCAAATTAATATTTCGAACCAAACGCGACGATGAAGAATGCAACAAACAAAGCAATAATCACTGCTCCGATTTTCAAAGCAGTAAACACAGCCTCATTAAACTCACCTGTATGTAAACAACACGCTGCACTGAACGCGTTCATTGAAGATTACACTGCCTCGTCAGTCAATTCAATCAATGGTTCCATGTGGTTTTCTAACACAACGAGCACGACATGGGTAAAGGTCGCGATTGACCCTAACACACGGCTTAGCTTTAAAACACATGAACCAAGGAAATGNCTCTGCATAAACATTCAAGTTGCCATAATCTAAAGAAAAGGATATTCAAGGGCAGCCACAAATCAACTCTGTCCTGGAGAAAAATCCTAGGCCGTGAACCGCGTACACGTTACCTTCCCGCGTAAGCATGAAGATCACAAACTAGCAAACCTATGTGCACCTTCTTAGTTTCGATCAAAGGAATGATCGCACCCAGCATGAATTATTATATGAGCCCGTACCTTCTTTGAGCTGCTACAGAACACGCCTTTTTTGATATTATCATATCGAACTTGATCAATTCTGACTATGCTGCAACGAACCTACCAATCCCGTTAGCTTTGAAACTGTTAATCTGGGACTATCACGACTTAATCTTGCAGTCTGGAATAGTTTATACCGAAAAAAATACCAAAGATAATTATTCATGAACAATTGTGTAACTGCCTATCATCTGCACAAAAGCAACTGTTGCATATTCAGATACCATGGCTCTCAAAAAGCCCGCCGTAACATATGATGCATGTGACCATCTTTCAAATTCATTTGATACACATACTCCAAACTTAACAATCAAGGAACCGTAAGCATTAAACGAGAATAGGGACATGAACGACATCCCCAAGAACTGTCAACATAACCAAAGATGTAGATCAAACAATCATCAAAGAAGAATCACTCGGCGGGTGCAAGCGGATTTTTGAGAACGAGAATCACCGAATCCCCACGTAGGAACATCTTCGAAATGAAGCGATCTTTTGGTACCGCCTTTGCCTGTAAATCAAAAGATTCTAGGTCACAAAAATCGTAAGAAAAATAAACTCGCCACTCTGGTGTACCTAGGAAGCAGGGGAAAGGCACAATGCAGGAAGACTTTTGGGAAAGAGGTACGGGTAAAGCTGTGCCACCATATTTGCCTTGTCAAAAGTGGACCACTACCCAAGAGACCCGACCATGCCAAAACCGTTGCACTGAATGTAAAATGGATCACGATGCCACATCATGACCTGTATCCCTTACTCTTAACACTTCCCTTCGGCTCTTGTTACGTCTTTTCGCCTTGACAATGCCCTCCTCTACCCCTAGGGGGTGTGGGGTTTTGGGGCTTTCTCCCCAAACGGAACACCCTCACGTATGGCAGGAATGCGATAGTCATTGGAGCGTGGAATGTGTGAGTCAGATATGTGATGGACCAAGCGGCTACGCACGCTCTCGCGCGCGCTAGGGGCTCTAGCCGTGAGAGACGGGGCCGCATGAGCTGATTTCATTATAGACCTTTATCGGATTTAAGAATTTTCGCCCAAACCCCGCCCCTTGTGGGCGGAGTCTGGTTCTACCACCCACCATAGGTTTTCACATCATGGCGCCTGTAATCTTACCAAGTTTGAGCTTTCTAGGTACATGGGGACAGGAGTTATGAATTTTCGCACAAACCCCGCCCCTTGTGGGCGGAGTCTGGTTCTACCACCCACCATAGGTTTTCACATCATGGCGCCTGTAATCTTACCAAGTTTGAACTTTCTAGGTACATGGGGACAGGAGTTATGAATTTTCGCACAAACCCCGCCCCTTGTGGGCGGAGTCTGGTTCTACCACCCACCATAGGT